ATTTCAATCATTTCAAATAGTGGAATTATGTATGACCTGGCACATCGGCGACACTCCTCTACGAGTCTTACCCCACCTTTGGACCCCTTACTAAGGTTTAAAACATTTTTGAACTTACGATTATTCTAAGATGCTCAAACCCTATAAGCTCAGAAAGTTTGACTTCATTTGGATGGAGTGAATGCAAATTCTTGGGTACTGTCCTAATAATTCCCATATGTGAAGAGTTGTTCCGAAAAAGCAACCTGGATCTCCGTACTTTGACCTTCCAAAACTTTTTAATTAATACCTACAACCGTTTTCAGCTATGCTCCGTCTAACTGGAATATCAAAAGCGCGGAAAAAAAAATTTTCCCAAAAGTGGTAGAAACCCGGCGGATTCACCCTATGCGAAGACGTATGCCTCGTCAGATGAAAAATTGAAAGTGGCTGACAGCTTTCTTGCGTAGGAGAGCAGTAATACTATTTTTCTCTCTTAATAACTTCATTTGGAATAAATTGTTTTTTTGCCGATGAATAGAAGGTTTGACACTTTCGCTGTTACTTGTTTTGTAATCAACAGTCGGATGGAAAAAGCAAAGTCTTCATACTGCGTGCAACACAACACTCACTTCATAGTATTTTTGAGCAGGAAAAATATATGAAGGACTCTTATTCCACAGCATGGAAGGGTGTGGGTGTGAATTAAGTGAATAGTTACATCCACAGCCACACAGGGTGGGATGTGGGTGTTGTTAGAAATAAAGGAAGAGTTAACATCCACACCCATACCAACACCCGCTCCCACACCCAATGTAACAAGTTTACAATTGAAAATTAAATAGTATTGAATTTTCGACCATTACAAGGCCGTATTCGGAACATGATGATGGATTTTGTAATGTTGTTGTACTATTTTGTATAACATGAATAATAAAAATAATAACATATTTAATGTATTGAACACGACCAGGACTGATTGTACCACCTATAACAGCTATATAACAGTCAGTAACACCTGTACCAACCTATCCAGCAGTTAACAAGACGTGTACCACTTATAGAGTAATTAACAAAAGTTTTACCACTTTTAATATATTTTCGATTTTTGTACCTCTAAATAGAGAAAATATGCACCATGTAAATATTTGGTATAATTCATACGTACAATCAGTTATAATGAGAAAGCTGACATTTTTGTAAAGATAATAATTGTTGTTGAACGAACATAACGCTTTGATATTTTCTTTGGACGAAGAGAACGAACTGGAGTTGGTTGACAATGAATGTTATTTAATTCATTATTTTTCTGTCCTATATCACTTTTATATTGATTGAAATGATATTCTGTAATGAGAGAAAAGATGAATTATTTGAATATTTCGTTTGGGTAATTCTTAGTATTGATGATGAAAATATTGTTTTTCAACTACAATAAATGTTAGTATAAGTGAAGCAATAATAAATATGTTGAAATAATCGACAATTGATTTTTTATGTTGACTATAAGAAGGTGTTTTTGTTTGCGTTTGAATAATTTGATGAATCACATGCTGATGTCTCATGTAAGTAGATTGATTATGTATCGAATCTATTTTGAGAACCTGTTTAATAGATGAGTTATTTTTCTATATATTATATGCAAATAAATGTTTTAGAAGGAATTTTACCATCAGAAATACATGCAGCAGAACTACCAGGGAGAGCATCAGTTGCTTGTATAGTACGATGTTGTGATGTTAATGTAGTGGAAATCTAGAAATAGAAAGGCTTATATTGGTTTGTTGGATTGGGAATGGTAGATATTTTAGAGTTGGATTGTTTATCGTCTCGCAACTTTTTAAACCCATACCACAAGATATATATTGTAGGATTTTCATGAACTATGCAGTTGATGTGTGACTCTATTTGGTGAAAATGCTTTGCCTTTTCATAAGTTTCATGGTATTCGGAATATGTTTTAACTTATGAGATTTGCTTTATTGTATTCAATAGTTGTCCAAGGTTATTTCTATATGTGAAATGTTTTTCTCATGTTTTTATTCTCTAGGGTTCGTACTGTATGTCGTTGTTTTTTCGATCTCGATTTATGGCGTAATTTGTCTGGTAGAAGGTATTGCGCATAAAAATATTTTGTGCATATTGCGTTATGCACTTTATTGTTGTTTTCTTTACTACGCAGTAATATATAGTAGAATCGAACAGTAGTTTTGCTACTTCTGTTTGTTCTCGTCGGGTATTCTCTAGTTAAATTTTTTTCTATTCTATTGTATCTTCTTTCTCATCTGTCTTTTTTTTTCATTTCTGTTGTATTAGTGATTGTGCTGTTTTATATTTACTATTACATTTGCCTTTGGGAAACGACACTATTCGGTCATGATATTATTGTGATGGAATATGTTATTTGTTCGTCTCTTCTGGTATGTTGTTTTGTTATTCGTAGTAAAATAATTTTTTTTATTAAAAGTTGGTTGTTTGAATCAGTATGAGTGTGTTGTTTCTGTTGATGTTGTGCTGGTGTCTTATCTAATAGCGCAGTAGAGTTTGGTTCAGTATAGAAATTTTTTTTTATAAAGAAAGGTTTTTTCAAAGGTTTTCATATATAACAGTCAAGAGTACTTACATGTTTTAAGCTTGCAATCAAAATTATTTCATCTCTTAATTTTTGAATTAAAATAATACAAGACGATGAATGGTTGAATTAAATGTTTTTGATTTATTAGTTTTGATTATGATCGACTTTACTAGAAATGTTGAAAATTAGTTTTATGAGTAAAACTAGGGTTTTGCTTACTTTGTTGTTGATGAAGAACATTGTGATTAAGATTCATTTCTTTTGTATAGCATTAATCTGATAAGTGTGGGTGTGGGTGTGGGTGTAGATAGGTGTAGATGACATTATCCAGTTACACTCACACCCACAGCTACAGCCATAGCCACACCCACCCACCCACGCCCCACACTAGCACTCACACCCTGAATCGAACTTTTCAAAATGAGTACCAGTACAACTTACACATATAATAGCGAAAGATATTTTATCGAACTTCTATCATTGAGATATGAGCTAAAGTATGATCAAACATTATAAAAAGAAAGTTTCTTTAATTTTGCTGTACGGTATGACGACGTCACTCCTAATACTTTTGGCATGTCCTAATTATTAAAATAAGCTTTACAATCTTGTGAATTTTCGTCTGAATTTGTAACTTTTTTTAAAGATTATATTCAAGTTAAGGCAGCTTCTAACATTTAGGAATGTTACTTTATATTCACTCCATAAATAAATTTAAAATGAAGTATGAAGATATTTTTGTTCATGTAATAGATGCACATGTAAATACTCTAGATAAGAACAGAATATGTCAACTAATGTTTTTCTTCACTATCATCATTGCTTCCATGTGTCAAATCATCAAAAAGTAAAGACCATTCATGAAACGATGTATGAGCGGAATGTTATTGCATATCATATTTAATTATATAATATGATCATTTTATGTGAGGCAATTCAAAAAAAAGAAAAGAAAATGAATTTCAGTACAAACAAATTCTTTATCTTTATTTTATAAAAGCAAAGAATTTTTTTATCTTTATTTGAGAAAGAATAAAGATTTTTTAATCTTTATCTTTTCTTGTAAAGAAAATAAAGTAACGCCCCTACTAACATTATTCATCTGTTCTAACTAATTCTTCCAAGCAATATGAAACCAAGCAGCAGCCAACATCATCCATCATCTATTTTATTAAAGTGGGCATATAATAAGCATAACAATTTCGAATGACGTTATTCTTTCACAGTTATTAGTGGGTACTTAATAAATAAATAAAAGACTATAAAATATGAATATTATTTGAATAAGACATACTAAGTTGATTTTAGCTTTGTCAAAGTCATAAAAGATATGAAATCAAACTGTGATGATCAAAATCACCAGAGTAAATTAATCATGTTGAATCGACCAATATTCTACAATAACAATCATCTTCCTAACTAGAAATAAATCTCTTCGAAACGCTGATCTCTTTAGCATGCCCTAACATTTATTGTTTTTTTTTCTTCTAGAAATTTTGCATATAAAATATTAGGGAGCTAGGACAAAATTGACTAAATAAATTCTGTAGGAAAGAGAGCTTAAAAAAGGACTTCATCTGAACATGACTTCTCCCTTGTTTTTATTTATTCAACGCTTTTATACATTCTCATAGTTGACAACAACGCAATGTTTATCATTCAAATTGCAAATGTTAATATGAAGTAGTTATCAAATAAATTTATCATGCTTGTCAAGTTTGACTGGTTAATTTAATTTTGACTATAGAGCAAAGCAATGGACTCTGCTCTTTGGGAGAGTTTACCTATTTCTTCTTTCTGTTTATATCACGTAGCATCTATCGCCTGTGTCATTTCTCTATTCTCTTGTTCATATTGAACACTGTTTGAAGACCAAAAAATGTTAGGAATAACGTCTTTATTTTTTTTCTTTCTTTGTGCAAATAGGTGACAATTGATATAGTCTGGTCTACGTTATTCTTTCCTATTTCACTTAATTAGTTTGAAGATGTGGATGATTCTGGCAACTGCTTTTACTTTAGCTTCTACCATTTCACATGGTCGAGTTCTGCTTTATGATACTGAAAACAATGATGCGATTCAGAAATTCGATTGTATATATGATATTAATGAAGATGGAACGCATATTTCATATTGTAGACGTCCTTATCGGATTGAACAGCTTTCTCAAAAGAGTAACTACTGTGAAAATCAAGGTGAAAAAAACCTATTCCGAGATCTATTTCATCAAGGTATTCAACCTAGCGAAGTTCTGAAGTGGAGTTCAAGCATTGAAATGGCTGATATCTATGCTAGTATTTTCTACAATCAGTCACAAATTGAATATGATTCATATAATAATGATGATCGATTCCTCTGTAATTGCACAAAACCAGGAACATTTGGAAAATACTGTGAATATGAATTAACACACCATGCTACATCATTTAATGAAGCTATGGAAGCTCAATTTAAAGATAAAAAAGAAGGTGATTCATGGAATACTCAACGATATGGAAAAATTCTTTGTTATGACACAATTGGTAATCCAGACAGTGATATGTGCTTCGATTGGCGAGATATTTGCGATGGTCATCAACAGGCTTTCTTTGGTATGGATGAACAAAACTGGGATATGTTGGAATTTAATGAATGTGAAGACGATGAATTTCGATGTGTCAATGGTATGTGTATTGCAGAAGAATTTTGGCTTGATAGTAAGCATCTTAAAATGATAGTTTTTCTCATGATATATTTGATCTTTGTAGGTGATCCAGATTGTATGGACTGGAGTGATGAATTAAAACGTGACAGTGACATATGCTACTATACTCCCAATATAATGAATTGTGACGAGCATGTGTGTTCACGTCAAGAATATTCTTGTGGCGACGGACAGTGCATTTTATGGTATGATCGAATACCATTTCAACGGTGGTTCACAAAAGTTACCGATTGTTTTAACAAACGAAATCTGAATTTTATGTGTGAGTTGAGCTTGCATCGACGTACTTGGACCCTCGCTAATGGTTTATGTTGGCCTGACGAAAACTATGATGATCCTCTAAACTCTCCATGGCATATCATCAATTCAACAAGCAGTGTTTCAAATCAAGAATGCAATTATCTATTTCGATGTTTTTTTACGGACAATTTCGAACGAGACTGCCCATGTAAAGACTATGATTGTATTGAAATAATGAAACGTGTATGTCCGATGAAATCTCACGTTAATTATCCACCACCAGGAGTGATTAATAACAATACATTCATCCTATACGATTTGTCAACATTATCTAAAAAAGATCCGAGTGATTACATGTTCTTTTCTTCTGGTGAAATTTTATGCAGAGGATATGAATTCGTATCTGATTCTCAAGAAATGTTCGGTTTATCGCCTATTGCGGTCGTATTACGTGATATAAACGAAAGGCTTTGTACATTACACAACAACCGAAATTACTTTTCGTCTTTTCAACATGACAAGTTTTGTTGGAATGAATCTTTAACATTCAATGGTCGCCCGTATGCTGTTGCTCTTGAAGTTTGCCGCAGTCGAGGATCTTGTATGTCACAGTATAGAATTCGAGACGGATCAGTAGACTGTCATGATGGTCAAGATGAACTCGAACTATTTGAGAAAGGTTATTGTACAGGAAATGCCGGTCGACATCGCTTTCGATGTTTTAATGGCGAACACAATTGTCTTCCGTTACACGGGATGGGCAATACACATGATGAATGTTCGAATATGTTTGATGAACTATGGTATGGTACTGTTAATATTATTACTAAGGATGGATACTGTGGAAAACAAGATATTACAGCATGTAAAGCTTTGAGAGAATATATCAAGATGTCATCTACAAATATTACAGTTAGTAATTATTCGCTTGAACATTCAGAATCATCGATATCGCTTACTAATATAGCATTTCGACGGTATTGTGATAGCTTTTGGGATATGGATGCACAAGCTGACGAATTACCTTCTTATTGTCGCTATTGGGTATGTCCCAAGTATGAATATCAATGTCAAACTGGTCAATGTATCCCAGCTGAATGGGTATGTGATGGAGTATGGGATTGTAGCGATGCTTCAGATGAAGAAGCTATTGTGCTCATTAAAACATGGTCTTCTCACAACACTAATCTGTATAATTTAGAAAATCGAACCGAACAATGTCGAAAAAAATATTCACAGTTACCATTTTCTAAAATTTGCAATGTTTCTTTTGAATTTGGTTGCTATCTATCTCGAGTATTAAATCCATTAGATATAGTCACCAATCGTCCATGCATTAATCTTACTCAAATTGGAGACGGTGTTGAAGATTGTTACAATGCTTATGATGAAAAAAATACAATTCCAATCGGTTCAACAATGTTGGGATTTCGTCTTCGTTGTGAGAACAGATTCATGGATCATCTATTTGCCTGTCTGGATGGAGCCGATCATAATTGTACGCAAGTTCTCTGCTCCAATCATCGAGATGGAAAAAAAACATGTTCTGGTGGTTTTGATTTTATTTGTCTTGGAAATAACAAGTGCATGAAAAATGTCAGGTGTGACGGCAAACCAGATTGTCCACATGGAGAAGATGAATATTGGTGTGATTTTAGCATGGGTTCGAGTCAATTCACTTATCGTTGGGGCAAAGTCATATATAAGAGCGTTAGTCAGTATAGTTTCACTGTTGCAACATTTCCATTTGAAGATGACAGTCAGTCTATTCCCAACAAAGAAAAAGTTTCACACATCGAATATCGAAAAAATCATTCTTTCATGGTTCATTCTTATGAATGTAATCGAGGTGTAGCTATTCTTCAAATAAATAAAACTATATGTTTGTGTCCACCTGCATATTATGGAAAATGGTGCGAATTTTCCAGTGATCGAATCACCGTTATTGCTCGTCTTGATCAAGAAACATTACCGAAAACAATCATAGACCACACCTTCAAAGTTCAATGCAATTTTCTTTTCCGCAATATAATTATCGATTCTCATGAATTTATCATTGTTCGACAAAATTCAAAAATCAAAAACATGAAACATAAATTTTATCTTTTATATTCACGTTCCGACCATATGCTTCAACATAAACGAACACGTTATTTCAATCGTAGTGATATAATTAATAACCATCCATATTCGCTTCATTTTGATATTTTCTTATCAGAACAAAATAAAACTATGAAAGAAATTGGTTCATGGCATTATCCAGTTTACTTTGATTATTTACCTGCATTTCGTTTGGCTGTTGTCTTGAAATTTCCATCATGGTTCGGTAATGCTACACTTGATCCTTGCTTAAAAAATAATTGCACTGAAAATTCTATTTGCGCGCCACTTCTAAATCTCAATCATTCCTATTATTGTTCATGCAAGAATGGCTATTACGGAAGACATTGTAGCAAATATGAACCTCTTTGTCATAAGTACTGTTCGGAAAACTCTATTTGTCGACCTAATCATAATACTATTCTAATGAATCAAAGAAGACCATATTGTATATGTCCACTAAATTATTTTGGGCCACGATGTATTTTAAAAAATGATCCATGTTATTCAGATCCTTGTTTCAACAATGGAACTTGCTTGGTTCGAGAACATTCAAACGAAGAAGCATCATACATTTGTAACTGTTCTACGAGATTCTATGGTGAGCAATGTACCAAAGAAAAAGCATTTGTGCATATAAATCTCAATATGAAAAATGATTCGTTTGTTCGTGCAACTGTTATTCAACTCTACAATATGAATAAAACTACACTTCATATTCAATATCAACAAGTACAGAATGGTTTGCCATCAAGATTTCACTATGCTCATGAAGGTCCTTATGCACCACATCTGGGTATTGTGAAAATTTATACGAATGAAACAAATTCACGGTATTTTATTATGTATGTAAAACAGGAACAGAGCATCAATATAACATCATTTCCTCATCAATGTACACATGCTTTATCAATTCTATATAAAGGCAAATATTTAATTTTATATATACTAATCATATTATTCATCCATTTCTCTTTTAGATAGTAGCCCATCTGTACCAGCTGTTTTTAAGTATCATCAAATTTGTCAAAATAATACTGAACTATATTGTTTTCATGATGAAATCTATTTCTGTTTTTGTTCAGTAGACCATTATGAAGCTATTTGTTTCAGTCATAATCCTCAAATTGATCATTGTGGCAAATGTTTATCTAAAGGCCAATGTCTTCATGGTGATCTAACCAATTCAAAGGATTTCATTTGTCTTTGTCCAAAGTGTTATCAAGGACCTCATTGTGAACTCAATTTACAAGCATTTGGTTTTACTCTCGATTCACTTCTTATCGAATTTTCCAAAAAGGTTAAAATTATTTATGCTTCTATAGCTTTATTACTTTCCATTGTGGGTCTTTTCAATAATATATGTTCATTTATTACATTCAAAAGATCTGCACCCCGAAAAGCTGCAGCTGGTAACTATTTATTGATTACTTCTGGTCTCAATGAGGCTGCTCTACTTTGCTTACTTCTCAAACTCATAGAAATCACATTTGAAATTTCTAATGAACATTTATGCAAGCCAATGTCCTATCTTCTTTCTGTATTAACAAGATCCACCTTCTATCTAACAAGTTGGATTACTGTTCATGGCGTGCTCATGACTATCTTTCCAAATGGAAGTGCTTCGAAAAGTCCTCGTATAGCTATCGTAGTGAGAACAATTACATTGGTGATCATATTTGCTATGCATGTACATGAATTACGAATCTGCTATTTTTTTCTTCCAAACATTCTTGCTTCAAAACCGCTCCACAGTGATATGATTATATCTTGGGTAGATTTTGTATTAACTTTTTCTAACACTTGTACCTTAACAAAATGGATTGCTTTTCAAGAAATGATAAGTATCTTAGGCGTTCGGTTTTGTTTCTTTGGCTGAGAA